GTCAACAAATTACAGTACAAACAGTAAAAGCCTAAATGTGAATCTTGTCCAGTCTCTTGCAATCAATCTCCCACATACACTAAGGTGTAACTCACAATTTGCAATAACTGTCATCATTGTAAATCTCCCCCAATGGAGGATCAATAAAAAAGTATTCTATAAAAAAAGTACTCTATCAAAACTTTAGCCATAGTTTACATCAGAACATTCCTCCAGAGTACACCGTTATGTTGATGACATGACTAAGCAGTTTGACTGTCTTGTCTGTACACACTGACACAAGGACTTGTCATTCTGATGGCACTGACATGTTCATTCACACAGATATTTAGTTTTGAGAGATGAACAAAGGATTTTGAGCAAGTAACTGCTTTTTGCAGGTAATCCATGGTGTTTTGCTATTCGTACAAATTGTTTTGAGAAACGCACTTACTGTTTTCCAGATGTTGAGGATGATTCGAGGAATGTGCCAAAGCGACTGAGAAAAACTGTAACTCACATTTTAAGTTGTGCTTTAAAGGTTAAGTATTAGTCAAGTGGAATTGTCGAACAGGTAGAACATTAAATTGTAAACAAACATGCAACAATATCCATCCATCCATGTCTACACACCACTTAATCCTCACTAGTGTTAAGGGGTTAGGGGGGGCTGGAGTCTATCCCAGCCAACAAAGGGCGAAGGCAGGGGACACTCTGGACAAGTCGCCAGCCTATCATAGGACTACACTTAGAGACAGACAACCAAGCACACTCACATTCACACCTACGGACAATTTAGAATCACCATTAACCTCAGCATGTTTTTGGGCTGTGGGAGGAAGCCGGAGAACCTGGAGAGAACCCACACTAACTACTGAGCTACTTTGCAGCCTGTGCAACAATATTCCTTGGAAAATCAACAACAACCCTTAACGGTATTATCCAACTGATTCATCCAATGGTCCAATCCAATTAGACAACTAATGTTACTAAGTTCATGTCAGGACAGACTCTGATTCTGTAGACTCCAGATTCTGGACACAGTTTTGAAGTACAATGGTTGTTGGTGGTTGAATTACATTTTCCAGTAACATTCCAGTAGTCTTTGCCTGAAAGCAGCATTTAAAAAATAAAAATTCAAATATCAAAGGTACGATTGAAAACATAATTTGCAGGAGCTTGCATGATGAGCAGGCTAACAACAGCAGTCCACAAAGTTAGAAGTTATACAACAATTTACTAAAGATTTTTCTTGTCTTTATCCTCTGTTACAGTCCACTTACCACAGTCAAACTGCATCCTGCTGCTCATAACATTTTGCTGAGCAGTTATAAAATGACAATGTAAACAAACATTTCTAGAATGAATGAATGTTGTGGGTCACAGCACAACTAGTCTGAAGAGGAGCTTTTCTGACAGACAGGTGGACCTGATCAGCAGGTTGGTATCAGCAGAAACACTAAGAAACTACTGTAAGTAAACATCTTTCTCAACGTCTATGAGTCTATTTCTCAAGTGAGGCTTCAGCACAACGATGGGATTGAAGAGATTTTGTCTTTTATCACAACACAGACTGCTTTCTATAAAACTGCATTAATTTATTTTCATTGTAAGAGATCAGCACTGTAAGTAAATGGAAAGTATTTCATCAACACATTCACATTTGGCATTTAACTTGAGAATACACACTTTCTTCAGTCTTCAACTCCGTCTTCTTTTTCCCTCGTGCAGCTTTCCTTCCAGAGAAATGCAGCGCAGCATAGTTCAGATCCTGTCCACCTTCACACTGAACAGAAAATCAAAGGATTATTATAAAATCATACTGTTATATTGAGCAGCTGGGAATCATTAATGAAATAACTATTAATGTAATTTAGTATCATTACTTACAGCATCAAGCACCGGTTGACTCACGTTGTCATGTCTTGTTTGTGATGAGCTGAATTCTGTTCCTCATGACGAATGAAAAACAAGAATATTATGTCCTTAACCTGACTCTCTATTGGCATTCATAGATGACAGATGAAATAGTTTCATTTCTTCTTTTATTTACTTACTATGTGATACTATTTATTTTAAGAGACCTATTAAAATAGGCCAGACTTTTGAAACGTTTTGGGTAAAATCACTGCTGTGTAGAATGTGACTCAATAAACAACTCTTACCTGTGAATTGTTCTCGTGCTGATCTTGGAGTTCGGTAACAGACGAAAACAATATTTACAATCACAGAAATGGCCAAGCAGATTATTACCACCACCAGTGCAATTATTTCAGAACGGGCAGTTTGTGCTAGAAAACAAAGAAANTACACGTGATCTGCGGTTGTGAGGCCAGTTGGATGTACTTCCAAATTCTCTGAAACGCCTTTGGAGACTGCTTATGGTATAGAAATGAACATTCAATTCACGAGCAACGGCTCTGGTGGACATTCCTGCAGTCAGCATGCCAATTGCACGCTCCCTCAAAAGTTGCGACATCTGTGGCATTGTGTTCTATGATAAAACTGTGTGTTTTAGAGTGACCTTTTGTTGTGGCCAGCCAAAGGCACACCTGTGAAATAATCATGCTGTCTAATCAGCATCTTGATATGCCACGCCTGTGAGGTGGATGGGTTATCTTGGCAAAGGAGCAGTGCTCACTAACACAGATTTAGACAAATTTGTGAACAATATTTGAGAGAAATAAGCCTTTTGTGTACATAGACAAAGTCTCAGATCATTGTGACCAAATAGATCTGAGACCAAATAGTTCAATTATTGTTTCATTTGACCACAGAACTTTCCTCAGAAGACATTTTCTTTATACATACAATAAATGTGTGAGAGAATCAAGATGCACAATTGTTTTTTTTTTGACTAAGACACGTGGGTCGACCATTGTCAGACCAACTGCCGATATATATATGCAAAGGTGTGTGTGTGTGGTGAACGCATGGAAATTGTTGCAAAAAACAAAACAACAAAACAATCAAAAACAATTCACAAACTGAAAAAAAAATCCACCCTATTTGGGATTATTGCTAAAACTGGCAAGTCGAGCGATGTCCAAACAAATATCTTCGCTTGCAGTTTCTAAGCGAACAAACATGATAAAATGTGCTTCTAAGTTATCAGGGGCAAAACAGATTGTGGTCTAGTTATCAAATCTGATTTATGAATTGATATTTTGGCATCAATCGATGGAACACCCAACAGCCTGTCTTAGTCATTGCTCTTTTATGTGAAACACAGAAATTAGTGCTACTAATGACCTAAACTCAAACTGATAGTTCCTATTACAGTTTTTCTCAGTCACTTTGGTACATTTCTCAGATCAGAACTGAAATTTTCAAAACTACTTGTTCAATCTTCACATCCTTGTGTCACTTGTGCACATCAAAAAAGCAGTTTCTCATTTCTTTGAACAACTTCTAAATGCTTTGGTACATCCATGCAAATGATGATGTACAATCTCTGCTGTTTCCTTCATTATCAATTGCTTATGTCATGTTGATCAAAATGTATTATAATGGGTCTCTGTTGAATAGTCTCACCCCCACAACATTTAGGCATTAGTTCATCACATAAGTATTTACATGCAAAA